AACAAATGAATAAACTAGAGCTACACACAGCAACATGAATCTTGTGATTTCACTAAAGTAAGGTTAAAAATATGTGTAAGTAATCTACGGTGTTAGAAGACACCTCGGGATAGGATAAGGTAGAAATTGGGGACAAGTACAAAGGGAAATTTAGAGATGTAGATAATGTTCAGTTCTTGGCCTGTGTGGTGGTGACGAGGCTTGTTCATGTGATAACTTCTCAAACTTAAATTTAACCACTTCAATGAGAGGAATTTGGGTAAATTTTCTTTTGTCATAAAATTTACTAAATGTTAGGAAAATTCAAGTAAGAATAGACTTACTACTTTTGGGATAGTACTGTTTCTTTTCTTTTTTCTTCTCTAATGCATCTCCAAGTGATTACAAAGAATAGAATATTTGGGTTTTTTTAGTTAGAATTTATGTACTTGTAATTTCTCATGCTTTGGTGCCAGTAATGTTTGTTACTTACTTTTCCATTCCAGTTCATGCTGCAGGACTCTAACCCTTATCTGAATTAATAAATGGGTTAACTTATGTACAGTGTTAATAACATATTGCTGTATTGTGTAGTAAATAAAAGGATATATATATATATATATATATTTTTTTTTTTGCCTTTTTGTCTTTTTCCGTGTCCGGCAACGGTTCGCAACCCTCAGTGTCGCCCCCGCACCGGACTGGGACCGGCAATGGGATCGCAACCCTCGGCACTGCTCCCGCGCCTCGCTCAGCCAGCGAGCGGGAACCGGTCTGCATGTGGGATCCGAGCCCTCGGCGGGAGCGCCGCCGCGCTTCCCAAGCGGCGCACTATAGCAGTGCGCCACCGGGCCGGCCCAAAAGGATATATTTTAATTATTTTGTCATATTTTGTTAGCATACATTTTAGTAAAAAAATCTTCTTTATATAATTAAGATAATTGTTGTTTCTTTTCTATATCTTAAATTATCATAACATCCATATCTTACATAATTCTTTGAGTGTTCAGGTAACTAACTATATTAGTCTGTTTTGTGTTGCTATAACAGAATACCTGAGACTTGGTGATTTATAAAGAGAAACGAAATTTATTGCTCACAGTTTCTGAGGCTGGGAACTCCAAAGTCCATTTGGTGGTGTCCACAATGACTCAGGGGTCTCACATTGCAAGATGGTGGAAGCAAAGAGAGAGCAAGACAGACTTTCCTCCTCTTTTAAAGCCCTCAGAACCACACCCCTGACCACCATTTTTAATCCATTCACTACTGCGGGGTCCTACAATCCAATCACCTCTTCAAGGCTCCACCTTTCAATTACCATAGTAGGATCTCCCACCCTCTTAACAGTCACAGTGGGGGTTAAGTTTCTAATACATAAAACTTGGGGGACACAATTCAAGCTTCAGGGAGTTTTGGGGGGAACACAATTCAGTCCACTATATTCCTCCCCAAACCTTTTTTCTTAAATTTAAATTTCCTCTTGCAAAATAATGAAGTTGTAGCCCTACTTCACATCAGATACGAAAATGAACTGAAAATGGGTTATTCCCCTAAATATAAGAGCTAGAACTCTTAGAAGAAAACATAGGGAATCTTCATGGCCTTGGGTTTGGCAATAGATTCTTAGATATGTGTGATATTGTTACACAATAAAAATATGTATTTGAGCTTTGTCTCTGGTTCCTGGCACATAGCTCCTTAAAACCCGTGAAATTTCTTGAGTAATAAGGGTGAGAAGAGTGTCATCTTATTCATAACAAGCACCTTTCAACTACACCTGAGTTTATGTTAATAAGGTGACTTTTATAAAGCCTCTAATGATGGGGAGCTGGTTGCCAGGAGAATCAACCATGTGATTAGAGGGTTGGAACTTTTAGTCCCATCCCCTGACCTCCAGGGAGGGGAGAGAGACTGGAGATTGGCTTGATCAGCAGTGGCCAGTGATTCACTCAATCATGTCTATGTAATGAAGCTTCCATTAATGACCCTAAATTCCAGGGTTCAGAGAGCTTTTGGTGCTCAACACATTAAGGTCCTGGGAAGATGATATGCCCAGAGAGGGCATGGAAGCTCCATACCTCGTTCCACATACCTTGCCCTATTCATGTCTTTCTTTTGGCTGTTCCTGAGTTGCATTCTTTATAATAAAATGGTAATAGTAAATAGAGTGCCTTCCTGAGTTCTGTGAGCTTTTTTAGCAAATTATCGAGCCTGAGGAGGGAGGGTGTGGGAACTTCTAATTAGAAGCCAGTTGGTCAGAAGTGCAAGAGGCCTTGACTTGTGATTGGCTCCTGAACTGGCGACAGTCTTGTGGGACTGAGCTCTTAACTTGTGGTATCTGACATTAACTCCAGGTAGATTGTATCGGAATTGAATTGAATTGTAGGACAGCCATCTGGTGCTGGGAAATTGATCGGTATGGGAATAAATCACCACATATTTAGTGTCAGAGTGTTACGGATATGGAGAAACACAGTTTGTTCTTTTTAGAATATGACACCAAAAGCATACTGAGTAAAAGAAAAGATAGATAAATTGGACTTCATCAAAATTAAAATCTTTCGTGCATCAGAGGACATTATTAAGAAAGTGAAAGACAACTTACAGAATGGGAGAGAATATTTGCAAATTATATATCTGATAAGGGTCTGGTATCTGGAATATATAAAGAACTCTTAAAATTCAACAACAAAAAGACAACCCTGTTAGAAATGGGAAAATGGCCGAAATAGACATTTTTCTAAAAGAGATACACAAATGGCTAACAAGCACATGATGAGATGTTCAGCCTCATTAGTCTTTAGGGAAATGCAAATCAAAACCATGGTGCACTGCCACTTCACACTCAATAGGATGGCTATAATAATAAAAATAAAAAATAACTGGTGTTGGCAAAGATGTGAAGAAATTGGACTTCTTATATTGCTGGTGTGAATCTAAAATGTTTTAGTCACTATGAAAAATAGTTTGGTGGTTCTTCAAAAAGTTATATAGAATTACCATATGACCCAGCAATTCCACTGCTAGATAAATACCCCGAAGAATTGATAACAGGTACTCAAATACTTGTACACAAATGTTCATAATGGTAGCCAAAAGGTAAAAACAATCCAAATATCCTTCAAAGGATGTATAAACAGATTGTGATATATACATAATGGAATATTATTATTCATTCACAAGAAAAGAACGAAATGCTTATGCTTCAAGGATAAATCTCAAAAACATTACGCTAAGTGAAAGAAGCCAGACACAAAAGGTCCCATATTTTATGTGTATGAAATACCCAGAAAAGGCAAATTTACAGAGATAGAAGGCTAGTTGCTGGTTGCCAGGAGTTGGATAGAGGAGGGAGTGAGGAGCAACTGATAAAGGGGAACAGGATTTTCTTTTGGGGTGATGAAAGTGTTTTAGAAATGGATAGAGGTGGTGTTTGCATAACATTGTGATATACTAAACTATGCTGAATTGTTCACTTCAAAATTGTTAATTTTATGTTATGTAAATGTTACCTCAATAAAAATAAATAAAAATCTAGTATTCAAATACATTAATTAACATATTATAGTTGATTTAGTGATGGAAATACTAGGAATAATGAATCTTTGTCACATTTTGATTTCCATGAATATTAAATATGTTCTTATGTTTTAAAATAATATTATAGAATTGAATTGATTTCAAGCTATTATTTTTATATCTGTTAAAGGAAGTATATTCAATTAATCAACTAAACTCTATCTTTTGACATTTTCCTGGTATTTTAAATAAAGCATCTTAATATTTTCTATTTTCACTTTTGGTTGCCTGTCATAACTACAGGTGGATATATTTCACTATGGTCAGGATAGGGAAGTTTTGGCTTTTACTGTTGGTATAATTATATGATGCATTGTTATACCTTGAGGCCAATAGTGTGTTCGTTTTTGTGACATGAAACTTGTATGTTAAGGAGGGGTTTATTCACGGCCTATGATGTTTTTTCAAGTTTTAAAATCACCAGTTTTTGATTGATAGGAAATCTCATAAAATTATTTGTCGTTCTATGATAGACATTCTTTTCAAAGACAAGTAAATTTTGATTATTCAGTATTATACTTAGGAATTTCTTATTTGGAGATATATGCCTTATGACTCATTTTACCTGACAGCCGTATCATGAGTATCTCATATGTGTGCACATGTGTCAATTTTAATACTTGCTCATAGTATCTGAAAGACCAGGAGGCAAGTATGTCATGTGTAGTACCAAGAGTGCTTGATATCTTTTTGGTGATGACATTTTTTTTTTTATTAACGTGGCATAAAATTGTTCTCAGTATTTTTTTTAGCATATTTTCTTATCTGAAAAATGAAAATATCTATTTTGCTGAATGAATTACTAAATGAAATGGTGTTGATAAAATTCCTATTACAATAGTGAGAATCAGGGCTGGCCAGTTGGCTTAATTGGTTAGATCATGGCACTGTTAACATCAAAGTCCATGGTTTGATCCCTGTTCTGGCCAGCTGCAAAAAAAATAAATAAATATTTCGTCTGTGGCTGATCAGTCTAGCTTCAGTTTCTCTTAACATTTGATTTTTCTTTTTCTTTGCCCTCATGAGTATTTTTTAATTAGAGTTATTTGGCACTTGTTTTTAGTTAGTTTCAGAAAGTCGTCTGTATTTAAGTCTAGATAATTTTCTTCTTAGAGTAAAATTATATGTGGTTATATTTGAGATAGAACACCACCATAAAAGCAAAGGATGCTGGGAACATAGAAAAGCAGGCATTATTTGTTAATCAGAAGCGTATTAGTGTCCCCTGCCCCCCAAGTAAATGTTTTCTTAGCTGTTTAGGCTTATTAAATTAAAGTATAACTTTAAAATAAATAAAACAATGTACACATACCCAAATATAGAGAGTGAAAGTTAATATCTGTCTGACTCATGCTTTTCTAGCCTGACATTAACTTTAAGAAATAGAAAAACCTGAATAGTTTTGATCGTTAATACCTTGTTAAATATTTTTTAATCATCAGATGAAAAATCAGCACTAGACCAGAAACCTTTTAAACCAGCTGCTCCACAAGTCCCACCCAAGAAGCCTACTCCACCCACCAAAGCCAATAATTTATTGAGATCTCCTGGAACAGTGTACCCAAAGCGACCTGAAAAACCAGTTCCTCCACCACCTCCTATAGCCAAGTAAGTTTTACCTAATTTTGTCTTATTTATTTATTCACCTTCAACCTAAATAGCTCTATTGCCTTTCTAAACCTCAAAGCAATTTAAACATTTTTTTCAATTTATTTTTTAAATTGACATAAAATTGTATATATCATGTACAATATGATGTTTTGAAATATATGTATACATCATGGAATGGTTAAATCTAGCCAACAGATGCATTACCCCACATAATTATCATTTTTGTGATGAGAACACTTAGATTCGCTCTCTTAGCATTTTTCATAATGATGAAATAATCATCATTAACTGTAGTCACCAGCTGTACAATAGATCTCTTAAACTTATTCCTCCTATCTAACTGTAACCATTTATTCTTTGATCGTCATCTCTTTACCTCACCCCAAAGTCCATGGTTTGATCCCCCTAGTCACCCTAGCCTCTGGTAACCATCACTCTATTTCTATGAGATCAATTCTTTTAGATTCCACATATGAGTGAGATCAAATGGTATTTATCTGTCTGTGCCTGGCTCATTTCACTTAACATGTCCTTCAGATTTATCCATGTTGTTGCAAACGGCAGGATTTCCTCTTCTTTTTTTTGGCTGAATAGTATTCCACTGTGTATATGTACCACATTTTCTTTAACCATTTGTTGATTTTTAGGTTACTGCCATATCTTGGCTATTGTGAATAGTGTTGCAATAAACTTGGGAGTGCAGATATCTCTTCAACATACTGACTTTAGTTCCTTTGGATTATACCCAATAGTGGGATTGCTGGATCATCTGTTCTATTTTTAATTTTTTGAGGAACCTCCACATTGTTATCCATATGACTGTACTAATTTACATTCCCATCAGCAGTGTGCAAAGGTTCCCTTTTCTCCATATCCTTCCCAATACTTGTTGTCTTTTGTCTTTTTAATTTTCTTTTTGAAAAATTAGAATTTTTTTAATATTGCAAATAAGGTCCAAGGAGATTAAAAACAAGTTCGAGGGCTGGATATATACACAAAGGTCACAGGCAGGATCTGATGATTTGATTGGAGCCTTGATTATTAATATACAGGATCAAATACCCAGGGGACTAAGTGCTATTCAGCAGGCTGGGAGCTAGCAGTCCGCACACACAGTTATGAATCCAGTCAGGTTTTGGAACCATGGGAGTGACCAAGGAGTTCTTACAGGTAGACCTGTACATGCTGCTAGGAATTGAAGGGATCAAAGAGGTAAAGCAGGTATATAGGCACAAGGCCCTCTCCTGCCACCCAGACAAATATTTGGATAGTCCCAGAGTGGCTGAACTCTTTCGCCAAATTTCTCAGCCCGTAGAGCTACTGGCTGATGCTGCATCCAGGGCTGTATATGACAAGGTCAGGACAGCTAGAAACATGATTAGAGAAGGAAGAAAGGAAAGCTTGATTTGGAGGCCCAGGAGTGGCAGATCCAGGCCCAGGGCAGGGAGGAGGAGGAGGAGAGCCGGAACCTCAGGACGCTAGAACAAGATATCAAATGCCTCGGAGAAGTGAGTTCCGGCAGCTGGAGGAAGAGCAGAGGCTGATTCAGGAGGAGATATGCCAGGAACATGACCAGAGATTGAGAGGAAAGGCAGAAAATACTGAAGGCAAGAGAACCCCCACATTAGAGCTAAAATTAAAGTGCAAGGATTATGAGTCAAAAGGCGGCTGCTTCAAAGATGTCATCCTGTGGCTTTTGCAAAAGTATGGTGAGGGTCTCAACCTGCTGCTTTACATTAAGAAGGCAGGCACCCCTGTAGTGGAGTTTGTGACCTTCATGGCTGTAGAACTGGCTGTCCAGAATGAAATTGGCCTGGTGGGTAACCCTCTGAGGATTTCCTGGTTGGAGGGATGACCCCAGAACGTGGTGGGCCCCAGCCACCCAGGACAAAGGGGCTAAGTACTGTCATAGGGCAACTATAAGAGTCTCGTCATGATGCTGATCACCCAGATGCAGCAGGAGGACAAAAAGGGGCAGCCCATGTACTTCCAGCTCTAGCCCTACCACCCCACAGACCTTTTCTTAAATATTGCCAATAAACTTAAAAAAAAAAAAAAAATATGCAGGCCCATTCTCTGCTTTTTGACTTAGTGCTGTTGCTTACCTTCAAATTAGTTCCTTCGTTGTTGCAGTTTAATTTTTTTAAATATTTGTTTTCCATGTTTTCTCTATAGAGTATAATAATTCTTTGTTAAATGTTAATCTTATACTCACAAGAGATGAATACACTCATTAAACTTTTTACATTTGTGATTTTATTGTGGTCAGTCTTAGGGTTGAGGTTTATGTTTATGAAATAGTTTTACAGAACAGAGAATAGTATTCTATAAAATCTTTAATGTCTTTAACACACAATTTTAAAAAATAGTCATATTTTACACAGAAGTGATTTTTGCTTATGTTTGTTTTTCTTGTTTCAGGGTTAATGGGGAAGTTTCTACCATTTCATCAAAATTTGAAACTGAGCCAGTATCAAAACCAAAGCTAGATTCTGAACAGTTGCCTCTTAGACCAAAATCAGTAGACCTTGATTCATTTACTGTCAGGAGCTCTAAAGAAACAGGTAAATCAGCATGGACAAAAGTGGTAAATTTTAAAAAGTTGTTTAATTTAGTTTTCAGAAACTATTTAACATAAGAGATTTATATTTGCAATGTGTATGTGGGTAGACACAGTAGAAATTGGTTAAAAATTTAGTAGCCAAAGTAGAGAAATAAGCTTGAGAAAATAAATGGGCAAAATCTTTATGGTTCTTACTGATCAGAGGCCTGAAATGGGTAAGTTTTTATACTGGTCAGAGGACTAAAATGGATGTTAAAAGATCATTTATCTATTATTCTTTCTCTTCATAATGGAATGACCATACCACCTAACTTAGGCAGAATCATTTTAGTTTGAAAAATTTTTAAATGAGATGATGTAAACTTTCTATACTAGCACTAGACTTTGTTTAATAAGACTTTAAAAAAAATTCTTCTTTTTTGCTAAATGTTGTTTCTTAAGCTTTAGGACTGATTTTTTAGCCCATTAATTCATCTTTATTTGTCTAGTCTGTATTTCTTCCTGGTCTTTTAAACCTATTAGTTGTAAAATGGAAAACTTGAAACAGAGGAATCTTATTAAAAGTATTCGCAATCATTACTTTGTGGTGATGGTTATTATTTTGTACTGTGCTTTGCAATTGTTTTTAGTTTTTTTACAATTTTCAAAGCACTTTCTCATATATGTTCTTATTTTATCTTTATAGTAACTTTAGGAAGCAGATACAATTTTCCCCTATTTTGCATCTAAATATAGTAAGCTACAGACACATCAGATGTGCATGATCACATAAATCAAAAGAGAACTCTTTAAATTCCCTCTAAATAAAGTGCTCTGTGATATTCTTTTAAAAATTTAAATGTCTTAATATAGTTTTTAGCTTCAGTGTTAACATTTTATATTTTACATTTAAACCTCAAGGCCAATTACACTTAGATGCTTTTTGTCACCCTATTATAGCATATGGTATTACATTTCAGAATTTGTCAGGTGATCTTATTTTTCTTCCCTCTTTTCAGTTTACCATTGTAAAGGCTCTGACATAAGTGTGGCCTCTTTTCAGTTTTTCAGTTTGAATATTTAATACATCCTTTTGTCATACATTTGGATCCTGCCTGCTCTGGATGAAGCCATATTCATTAATAATTTCTGGGAATTGAGATGTTTGTATTTCAAAGAAATTTCACGGAAATATATTCAGTGTTTTTTATATGGTGACAACTGTCCTTATTTACTGTAAAAAATTTTTAAAAGTTTCTCTTCATGTTTTAAAAAAGAAAACCTTTATTTTTTATTGAGCTTAGTAGTAAAAAATAGAATTTTATCAGTTCCTAATGTTTTCTGTTTGATTCAAAAATATAGCTAGAAATGTGTTTTCAAAAGTAATAGTTGAAGAAAAAGATTATTTGCACAATTTTAACTCTGGAAATAAATTTTCTTTTGTATTTCCACAGTTTTGTGATCTTTATCACAAAAATCTTAAATTTTGTTGGAGTTTGGGAATTGAAGGGTTAACATTTAGAGTCTGTATTTACCTATTGCTTTGCAGCATTCTTGAACATTTGTTTTATTTAGCTTATTTTAAGGTAGAGGAAATTTTTTTTAACTGTAGGTAAATTGAAATAAATTTTCACTTTCTAAAAAACCTTTTTCCGTATACTATCACCAATAAGCCTGTTTGCTTTGATACATTTCTAGTAGAAATAATACATGTAACATTTTCAAACTATTGGCAGTTGAATAGTTGTATTTTTCATTTTGCTTTTGGGCCCTTTTTCTGACTTACGTCCATAACTATTATTTACTCTTCGTTTAAATAAACAAAGAAGCTTTGTGGAGAAGGGTTTGAAAACTTTTAATTTCTGGTTTATTTTTTTCTTTAAATAATTAAGGAAATAAGCATCTCTTAAGGAAATAATCTAGAGATGCTAAGACTTACACAAGTCAGGAAACTAACAGCTGACTTCCAAGCTGCTATTCTTTATTCCTTCCATTTAATTAGGCTACCTTTGGTGTACTACACTTACACCCTAAAAAGTTCAGAAAGTATAAATTTAGGGAATTGAGTTCATATTAAGTACCAAATATTTACTGAGCAAGTGTTATAACATCAGTAGTCTTTTAGGCACAGGTAGTATGCTAAAATAAAAGGCATAATTGATGGCAGCAAATAGTTATATTCTGAACACCAATTCAGAGACTTTTTTTTCCCCATTACAATATTCATATGTTTCTAGTACTCAATGTAAGTGTTCTATCTTTTCTGTGAGATGTTAACACCTTTAAATGTGCTTTGGCTCAAATACAGCCTCAATCTCGCATTAGGTTGAGGAATAGTTTAATTTATATTTTTGGCTTAATTTGAGGTTTTTACATTTTTTAAACAATGTATGAAACTAATAAGTTTTAGAAAGTTTACATTCAGCTAGTGGCACAGCTGGGTCTCAAATTCTAGACCTTTTGATTAAGTATATACTGTATTAACGTTTAATAGAGGGGAAGAACCAATGTGAAACACAAAATTATTTTCCTAGATATCCTCATGAATTTTTGAGACAATTATCATCTTTAAGAGCCTACTTTGTTTCTTAGTGGTTTTCACCCAGGGGTTAATGATCCACTGCAGCAGTGTAAAACCTCCAGTAGGGGTTCTGCTGGGTATTCCTCATTCAGAACCACTCACCTAGATCTTAGTTTTCTAAGCAAGATGTATTATTTGTTTGTCTACATTTAAGATCTACATTTACTTACTTAACTTTTTTTTTTTTCCCTTTTTGTCTTTTTTCGTGACCGGCAACGGATCGCAACCCTCAGTGTCGCACCCGTACCGGACCGGGACCGGCAACGGGATCGCAACCCTCAGTGTTGCACCCGCACCTCGCTCAGCCAGTGAGCAGCCGGTCTGTATGTGGGATCCGAACCCTCGGCGGGAGTGCCGCCGCGCTCCCAAGCGGCTCACTGTAGCAGTGCGCCACCGGGCCGGCCCCTACTGATTGTTTTATTAGTATGCAAAATAATAATTTGAGGTGAAATGCTATAGTAGAAAGTACACTGACTTTGCTGTTAAGAAAATGGGTTTTATTTATTAGATGATTTAGTCATAGACAAGTTTCTTCTCAGTCTGTTTTCTTGCTTAACTACCAATTGAATGATTCAGTGTATCTACTATACCTCTTTGAATATCTGACATGGAAGTTATTATAAATGTTATTTTCCTACTTCCCTCCCTCCTCCGTTGTTAAACCCATCTTATTCTGTTTCTGCTCTAATATATAAATTCCTGATTTTATTCTCAGATATGATTTTCCTGTTTATAAAGCTACATATAAAATTTCTATATATATATAAAATAAGTATGTATGTAAATATTGACTCTGACTTTTGTGCATATAAGAAAGACATCGCTAGAACACTGTTAGGTTTTCTTTTTCTATTTTAATGGCATGAAATAAATTCTCCCATATATATTACCATATGTAATATAGTGTAACAAATCGCAGTGCCTTTGGTGACCAAGTCTTAAATTTTTTTTCTCATTTTCGAACACTTCCTCAAAAATTGGTTAATTTTAAAGTTTGCATAGTTGAAATATTTCTAAAATTGTAAATTTTTTGAGAACTAAAATTATTTTCAAATTAGTTTAAAATAGAAAATTTAGTAGTAACATAGCTATCACATTGAGAAAGCCCAGCTTTATGAGGTATCCTTAGAGTGTAGTATTTTATCTCTTTTGATTGTTTTTCTTTGATTAATTGTTCTAGCATTAAAAGGAAATTTTAGAGAAAAATACATTATTTGATTCAAAGAAAACATTCCTTCTTATCAGTTTTATTTGATAGTTTTATTTTTGTTTTCATTACTTTCCCAATATTTACTCATTTATTTCTTCCAGAAAGAATTAATGATGAGATTTTTCTAATAAGTTGCCTGTTAAGTATTAGACACTGTACAAAGAGAGCCTGTATCTAAAGTGGAATTTAAAAGAATTTAGTTTTTAATAATAGTTTCTTTGATTATATCATATTATACAGAGTATGTATCATATAAGGTGTAAGTGAATTTTTGTATAGTTATGAAATATTTTAAAGGTTGTATTGAGTTACAGTTTTATACTGAGATATTTTAAAATAATATTTGGCATATTTTTCCTTTGATACCATGGGATTAAATTTGCCTCCATCATTGTAATTACCATCATGTGCTAAAGACTAAAATTTGATTAAGAGGTAGTTTAATTTCAGTTATAACTATATTATGAGATGTTAATAAGTTGATTTATTACTCTGGCCTCTTAAAGCACTAAATCAGCATTTGGAAACTGTCTTGGTGTTCAGTGAATTTAAAAAAAGCTTTTTTTTTTAGCTTAAAGTATATTGAAATTAAAACTAATCTTAATTTTTCATTTTGAAAGACAAAGGAATACATCTAAAATCTAATACACGTTATATACATTCAGATTACCTGTAATAGTTGTATGCTAGACATTGAAATGGTTCTATTCATTCTATAACCGTTCCTTTTTCTTGCTTTGTAAAATAATTTTTTTGGTTTAGTCTTTTTTCTAGACATTCCTATCCTTGACTTTTCTTTCCAGATTTTGTTTCCTAGCCTGTTTGCCTTGTTTCCCTTCTTACGTGTCAGGAAATTATCCTACCCTTCTCCATTTTGGTAAGATGACAACCTACAAAAGAAATCAAAATAGTATATTCAATATAAATAGGTGGTGCACACTGATTTTCTTTGTAATTTTACTGAAAATGTATATGTTTGTCTGTTTGTTCATTCTAACCCTTTTGGTTTTCCATTTTAAAATGAAATGAAATCCATTTTGGAAATTTTTTTCTGATTAATTTAAAATACTCTTCTGATAACTTTGTTTTTAAAATTGGCAGCCTTAAAAATCAGTTTATTTTCTCCCCAAATTGAACATTTCATTTTGATTTTTTAAAAATTCCATGTCTTCCTAGCAACATGTAGAAGTGTAAGTGGCTGGCAGAGTGACAAATGTGATTGTAAGAGTTAAGTGATTGTCATGCCTTTTATGCCATGTATTCAGTGTAAATCCATCGTTATCACTCTTAGGTAAATTTAAAAGCATTTGTATATATCATGAGTTGAAAATGTGCACTATTCCATTTTACTAACGTAATGGCTTAAATGGAGAACCTGAGAGAGTTTTAGAATAGTAAAATTATTTGTCTTGGTGTTTTAGCCCAAAACTGGACATACAGAAGGCATTTTACATGAGCATGGTGTATAATTTTGTAAATCTACTTTTTATTTATCCTTTTAGTTTCATTTCTCTTCATCTCTCTTTCTGTGTCTTTCTTTTTGTTTTTCTTTCTGCAAGTTGCTTAAATATGCATTTGAAAATAATCTCTACAGAGCAAAATGACTAGATTGTACTTTTCAAGGTTTTTTTGTAGGTTGTTGATGCACATTTATCAGTGTAAACAGCAATTTTTAATCCTTCAAAATACAACAGATTTTTAACATACCTCTTTTAAGTACCATTTTTTTAGTCTATAAATAGATATATTTAAATATGTTTTTAAACTTGCTCTTTCAGATTATATAATGCATTTTTCATTATAGTTCATTTATTTCTTATTATAGCTTGTATTTTTAGTTGTTTACAGATAATTATCAAAAATCTCAAAGCAAAAATTAAACAGAGCATATTAGAGTGTCTGTTGTGGTGTATTAGCTTATTAACTTGATCCAAGATAGAACACACAAAGTAATCGATGGAAAAAAATTAACAGTAGTCAACAAATACTTCTAATTGTTATAAATGCAAATTGCATAACAATAATGCTTCTTTTTCTGCCTTACCTTTGCATTTTTCATCCCTTAAAAAAATTCTCTAAATAAATTACTTTAAATATGAAAGTTGATAAATAAACTTTGAGGGTGGTGATGATGATTATCTTTAGATCTCTTTTAAGAAATAGCAAAACACTGAGTTGGGGTATCTAAATATCTGACAGGAAGTATTATAAATATCCAGGCAAATGGTAATGTGAAGAATGAATCTAGACTTGGAAGATCAGACCAAATATATCTGCTACCATGAAGAACATTTTGGGTGTATAGTCTGAGTTATTTGGGCTAAACGAAGGTTATGTTGACAATGGAGGTATCTGGAGTTTACTGTCAGGCTTCTTGTATCACTATATAGATTTCTGGGCTTCACAGTTAAAGAATCTCCTTTAGCAAGATTTTCTGGATCATCTAGAAAAATGCAGAGTATTATATACCATTGTTTCAAATATATGAATTACCTAGTTGTCCTTAACCCAAGTTATTGTGTCAAAGGTCAGCCAGCTTTTGATACTGAGGAAGCAAGTTGGTCATCTATGTAGCATTTTCCCTTGGTATCTTAGATTTATAACTATCTTATGATTCCTAAACATGATAATGTCTAAGCAGAGGTACAGTGAACTCTAAACAGTTTGAGTCCAGTTGTAACATACCGTTCACATACATACATGCATATATAGAGGCACAATAAGTCATGCTTTCACTTTACATTGAGAAATGCAAATAGAAAGCAGTAGGGTGCCAGATGTAGTTGAATCCTTAAAATTTGAATATTTGCTCACTAATTGAAATTTAAAGCAAATTTTATATGTAAATTTCCTGATACGTTATAATTAATTATGAGTTTGAGAAGTAGGTCATTTTTTTTTATAAGCAAGAATTTAAGATGACATATTTTTATGCTACTACAGTTTATGGGGCACATTTATCTTTCAATAAAAGCTTTTTGTTGAGGTCTAAGTCTATTGGAAACATAAGCCTTATATTGTTAATAAAGTCTTATACTATAAAATGTATCAGATAAAGAGGATGTCTTTCTTTTTTTTTTTTTTGAGAGTGAATATTTTCCAAATGCATATGAAAAGCACAGGTCAACTGTGAGCCCTTCAAAGTAGTGGTACTCTTTTTTAATTTATAGTTCAAAAACTGAAATATTTTTACTTTTCAAAAAGCAAAGTTATCTCTTAGTAGATAATTTTTATTTTTATTCTCTAGATGTTATAAATTTTGATGACATAGCTTCCTCAGAAAACTTGCTACATCTCACTGCAAATAGACCGAAGATGCCTGGAAGAAGGCTGCCTGGCCGCTTCAATGGTGGACATTCTGTGAGTTACACTTAAACTGTCATAAAACACAAAGGATTTAGCAAATACAGAGTCCATCTGAAGATAAGATTGAGAGAAGGTTTTTAGCTTCACCTCGGTTTAAAAATCAGGAAGATATCTATTATACTCAAGTGCAAATGCTGGTATTTAAGGAGATACAGGGAGAGAGATGTGTTCATTTCAACAAGGCCTGGAATGGAAGGTTACAGAGATAGAAATAAGGAGATGTCCTGAAACCATAACCACATTGTACAGGGTCAAAGGGGAACAGGGAACCTGTTTAATGTACCCATTTAATAACCATGATTAGAATTCAGCAGTAGATACTCATTTTAGGAAAAAAGGAGAAAAAATTTTTTCCCTGAAATATTCAATATTTTTGTAGTCCTTGTCCTGGTGTCTAAATGTGTAACTTCTTTTTATGCTTTCTATACATTGCCTGGTGATACCTGAATGTTAATGTATTAGCTCTTAAGAATTGTGATGCTATTAAATTACCTAAGTGGAGAAAATTTTTGTTGCTAAGAAGGAAGCTGTTTTTGCCCCCAAGATATACAAAATGTGTTTTTCAGCTTGAAGTTATATAACATCTTGTTAACAGTAATGGAATATCACAAAGAGTAGCAGCTGAGAACAAAGCAATGAAAGTTAACTTGCTTTATTATCCTAATGCTTACTACCTTTTTCTTCTTTGGTCTATTCTGTCTCTTGATTGAAAAAAAAAATCGTTTAGCCAACTCAGAGTCCAGAAAAAGTTTTGAAATTACCAAAAGAAGAAGATAGTGCCAACTTAAAGCCACCTGAATTTAAAAAGGATACATCCTCCTCTCTGAAGGTGAGATACATTTGGTCTAAGATTTGTATAATTTCTAGGATTTTTTGTGAACATCAGAATTATGGAATTCAAGGTCTCCTTTAAGAAGAGTTATTTCTTCTGCCAAGAAATAAAATATTTCTTGTGGGAAAATTGAGTTGTGAGACTTAGTCACGTTATTCTCTGCAGATCTTTTTTAGAAGAGCTGACATTATTTTAAATGTGTAATATAAGATTACATTTTTCACATTTTTAAAGGAAAATATCTATATACATCTGTTTCATTTTCTCATTAAACATATACTCTTAAGGTCAGAAACCATCACATTACTCCTTACCTGCCTTAGTATTTGGCACCATAATTAAGCACTCAGTACATACTGAATTGAATGGCAGAACCTGGGGATCCTTCCATCTGTTACATGGCATTAAGTGTCTTTTCTAAACCTTGGGCATTTTTATTTAACATAGTTTTATCATCACAGCTGACACACATATTTAAGAAGGTCATGTTTCCTCCTAAATTATTCCTCAGTTTCATTCTCTCCAGGGCATTTTTGGCTGCTTTTCTAAGTTATCAAATACACTTAATCTGATTCTCTCAGCTGTCAGCAGTCTATTGAAATTTTACTAAAATGACTTGCTGTTATTTTAGTGAAATACTAAAAGAGTGCCAGGCAGTGGACTCATTTTAATGCCTCTTCCATGAACTTAATAAATTATGCATAATTACTTTTAAGTGAAGCTATTTGGGTATTATAAACAATAAGTATTTAATGTGGGATATCAAAATGACATCTTAATAATGTGATATAGTCATGCCTTTTTTAGATGCTGCACTAGGCAAACTATTCATAAAATAAATCTGACAGATTTTGTTCTTTTTAAAATAAAGCCATTGGCATTTCTCATAAAAACCACTAGTGATTGCAGATTTATTCTGTTGTTGACTGTTGTTTATCTTCCTGTAAAATCTTTTGAATTAAATATAATATTGAGTATAATTACAAATAAAATCAGAAGAAAAATTGTTCTTATGTTTTCAGCCATCTGTGTACCTTTCAACACCTTCGAGTGCTTCTAAAGCAAATACGGCTGCTTCTCTAACTCCATTAGAAATGAAAGCTAAGGTAGAAACAGATGATGGGAAAAAAAATTCCCTGGATGAACTTAGAGCCCAGGTTATTGAATTGGTGTACATTGTAGAAGCACTGAAAAAGGACCATGGGTAAGTCATCCTTTGTTTTCTCTTCTAGGGGTACTACTTAGCACATGTATAAAGAATTCTTTCAAACTGTATCAAGTAAAGATCTAATCTGCTAAGTCTGTGGGATGGATAAAGAAATTTTCATTAACAGTGCTTTTCTTCTTTTGGCAAAAGAATTGAGAAATTTGTTCTGGTAGCTCGACTGTAGAAAAGGTACATACATACCTAGAATTTTAGGCTAGAAATCTGGTCAGACACAGGGTGTTAATAAGTCCTAAAGATATTGGAAAAGCTGTATTATAGTTTGGATCTGGTGTGTATCAGGGCGTATAGTCAACTTTTCAGAGGACTTTGATCAGTGTTTCTGCTAGGGTTGAGTTGGATATTTATAAAATGAATAGATGCTAGGTAATCTGTAATGCTTTTTTCTTAACTCTGAAAGTTTTTGATATGGTATATGATAAGACATACTCTAGAGAAAGTTAGATTTTTTAGAGCTGAAATAAATTTGAAAGATCACCGACTATAGCCCCTCTCCCCCTTTTTAAGTGAAGAAATAAAGATTCAGAGAAGTAAAGCTATTTACATAAGATCATACAGTCACAGTTCTTAAATGACAGAGCTAGAACTCAAATTTGTATCCTCTGTTGGTTTAGAGATCTTGTTTATAAGCACTAGTATTTGAATTTTAAATTGTTAATATTTTAAACATAATTCTATAAAAAGCCCAGTAGATAAAACAGATAAAAAGGCAGCTAATTTAGCTGAACTAAGGGCAAGGGCGCTCATTTCCTCTTCAACTTCCCCCTAAAAAGATTTCTTAGAATATGGTATAAAAGTCACTTCCAGAGGCCATATTACCTCTGAGCCTGATTTTACCATTTCTCCTCCAATTTTCAGTCTAGGATTCTTTATTAAAGACAATATTGAGATTAATAATATAAGGTACTTGTAGTTTGCAGAACACTTTTACAAATACCTTAGATGGAAACAAAAAATGTGTCTACTTAGGTGGAATCAAAAAATGTACTCAAAAAATGAATATTTAAAAATATGTTACATACTTTTATGTATGTAATTATATTATGTGTATGGAGATAGTTTGTAATTCGACACGATATGTCTTTCTTGAGTCCTTCAGTTTATCTCTTGAAAATCTTTTCAGATTCTGCAATATATACATTATAAGCTGTATATTCATATATCCAGTAAATATTTATTGAGCTCTATCCATTTACCAGTTAGAGAACTCTCCTGACTTGATTTTTTTTTTTAAACATTTTTGATATTAAGAGTGATGTTTTACATATACAGTTTTTTTTGTAGGTGCTCTTAAATTATCTGTAGACTGAATAAAGTATTTCTGATTTATATATATTTAAAAAAATATATATATCATATATTTTAGATGTCTTCTCAAAGGGTATTTTCAATATTTTGAGTTGCTCTTGAAAAAGGAAATTCGGTGGCATTTTTCTTTCTATTTAAAAAAGAAGAGCATCAGCAGGAGAATGGATAAATATATACTGGAATATTAATAGAGAAATATACGGTATACAGCAGTAAAAATAACTGAATTGTGGCTACATGCGTCAACATGGATTAATCTAAAAAATGGGGGTAGTGATCAAGGCAGAAGCATATGTACAGCATTATTCTGTTTATATAAAGTTTAAAAGCATAAAAAACCAAAATATGTTGTTTTAAGATATAGTTGTATATGTAATAAAATCAGAAAGAAAAGCAAATAATAAATGCTATAAAGCTTTTTCTTATGGAAGAGAGGGAGATGGGATTGAGGACAGTGGGTCACTTGGAGAGTATCAAAGGTACTGGTAATAGAGGCTGTGTAGCCCTTATCCAAAAAGCTTGGGACTAGATAGAAGTGTTTCAGATATCAGATTTTTTTGGATTTGGCGATATTTGCAGAATACATACCAGTTGAGCATTCCTAATCCAAACATCCAAAATCCAAATTGCTGCTGTGAGCATTTCCTTTTACTATCGTGTCAGTGCTCAGAAAGTTTTAGATTTTGGAGCATTTTGGATTTCAGATTAGGGATACTCAACCTGTATTTTATTTCTTAAGCTGACTTGGAGCTCTTAGGATTTTGCTTTGCTACAGTATTTTTATAGCTTACAGATACATAAATAGTTTTTACGTAGTCAATATTAAAATCTAAAATGTATAGAACAACTCATTAAAAAATTGAGGGAGATTGACATGGAAAGATTGACAGAAATATATCAGCAATCTATCTTCAGTAGAAAAATTGCAGAATAAGATGTATAGTTTGATCCTATTGTAAAAAAAACAGTGTTATTTAAAAATTGTATATTTGTAAATATATTTTTTAAAAAATGTGATGGGGTACTAAATTATCAAATTGAAAAGCAAATGATTTGAATAATGTAATACTACTAAATACACATAAGTAGAATGGGATAAATATAGGAATATCTCTTAATTTAGATATATAATAAACTTAGAATATTGAATAATCAGAAAAGGAAACATTCTTTAAGGGATAACTTTATGAAGATAGGAAGTTCAGTTAGTTATACTTTTTATATCAAAAACCAGAATAAGCTCTAGATACATTTTATTTTAAAAATTATAGTCAGTAGGAAACAGTAGAAAATTTACCTCCAGTATAAATTATTTTCTAATCATTAAAGCCACAGAATAAGTTAGTTTTGAAACATTAACTATATAAATAATTTAAAAAAATTTTTTCTTATATATTCTTTGTGAGATTTTTTTACTTTCTCAAGCTGTACTCTTAAAGAGAATTATTCTAGTGTATGTTAAGAGCCAAAAATGTTCACATTTTTTTGATTAGATACACTGATGTACTCATGCTGTTAAGTTAAATTCCTATTCCTCCCATTCCTTCTGTTCCCAGAAAAACTAGGTAACCAAACAAAAAACCTGGATGTTTGAGTACCAAACAGCAGTTATCATAAATATAAAATTTTGAGCAGCATGGAAATGTTTTAAATAATTTGTGAAAAAACATAATATATATTTATAACTGTGGAGGGAAAAATGACTATATAGAAAGATAGATTAGAAGGGAACATAGAAAAATGAAGACATGAATTAAGAAAGAGAGGTTATTATTGGCTGAAGTTTTTAATTTTTTTGTTTTTTGATTTTAATGTAATGTTTAATTTAAAAAATAGAGAAAGGAATTTAAAATCCAGATTATTTTATCAAATAAACTATAATCTGCCTTGTATTGTGACATATGTTGATACTCATTCTGACAAATTGCTTGGGCTCTGAGTTGATTCAGCCTGGAAAATATGTGACAGCTGAATATGGAAAATTGCTTTACGTGGCTGGTATTATTTCTTCTTTTATCAGGAGTTGCTTTGAATTCATTTAATTTCTTTATCTCAGATAGGTTTGCCATGGTTTTGCTGAATTATTTAACTGTTATAATGAGCTGTTCAAACTGAGAATTTGAAATTTTTCTCTGTCAATATGGCTGTTGCTCTTAAGTTTTCCTCATGTACTGAGAGGTTAGGCAACAGAGATCCTGTTAAAATTAATCAAATAGATTGTTTAATTGAAAATACTTAATAGTAATAAATACTTTCTTTTTAGGAAAGAACTGAAAAAACTACGAAAAGATTTGGAAGAAGAGAAGGCAATGAGAAGTAATCTAGAGGTAATTTGTTTCTCCCAGCATAAACTGGACATGTTTTTTCCAACCCAACTGGGTTGCTGGTTCCACTACAAATTACATTATCCTACTACTCCCTGCTGCTTGGTAGTCATTTAATTAATCTCTTGACTTCCTGTCACAGTCTGTTCATTGATGAAGTAAATATTTTTTGAACACTAATTCCTGTGGGCATTGTGTGAACCACAAGACATATTTGTGAATGAAACAAATATGGTTTTTGCTTCTTGAGTCTAGTTCTTCCTTGAATTATATACATAGTTTTCTTTCTTTTTTGTCCTGGAGACAGAATAGGGTTGGTTGTGGTCGTGATGAGACAGCTGTATATTCACTGCTTTCCATTTCTCACTGATAGTTTATCTTTACTCTCTGCTGATGACTGACGATTTTACTTATTTCCTTTATCTTTCTTAACTTTATTTTTCTCCTCACTCATTTTTGTCTTCATTTGTGTTCTTCATTAGGTATAATCTTAGAGAAAGTTGTGTCCTGCCTTTTTTCAGAGGCTCTTCCTATTCTGTATTTAAGTACTTTATATTCCTACCTACTTTTTTCCTTGCCTCATTACTTACCCTATTTCTTTTGTCAGTATTGTAGAACCAGAGAGAACATGGGACTTAGAAAACTTGGGCTCCTATTCTGATTTACAGTCATAACTAACTTTTTTAGTTCTATACTATGTATCAATTAGGTTTAGCACTTCTTGTACATTATCTCATTAGATACATAGAACAACCTATAAGGAATATTGTTTTTATCATAAGGCTGAGAAAAGGAGGGTTTAGAATGATTAAGTAATAGCACAGAAGCTGAAATTTTTTAATGTTTTTAAGAGAAGCAACAAGACTTCAGAACCTTTGTTCTTTAGGGATTAAGTTATACTTAGTGAACTTGGGCAAGTCACTTAACTTTTCCTTTAGCTTTAGTTGAGATAATATATGTTGAGGTACTTTGTAAATTATCGAATTTGCATGAAAAATACTTTTTTCCCTTATTCAAATTCACAGAAAAGCCACCTCTCAGGTTCTTCTGTCCTCTTGATTGCTACAGTAGTGGTTTCTCTTTTCATTTGACATTTATTTGTCAAAACAAGAACACCCTCACTCTACCCCCTTAAAAAAAGCCTACATTTGAGGTCTCTAATTCTTCACCTTCAGTTCAGTCCTTAACCCCTTGCATTTTAGGTTAGGTTTTCTGACACCAAATCGGATGTCTTTTCTTCATTTTCTGCAGCATATGACATTTGTACTATTGCTACCTTGTTAAAGATTTGTCTTGGTTTAGGCCATACTACACTATTCTGCCTCTAACTTCTGTCTCCTCTTCCTTTTTTGTAACCTAAATGTAAGTGTTCCTTCACATCTATTCTTGGCCCTTCTGTCTGTGCATTCACTTTTGGAATTTATCTACACCCATTAATTTAGTGCTAGCTCTAGTGCATTTCCTCTTTTTTTTTTTTTTTAAACCTATTTGTATCTTTGAATCTAAAGGTGTCTCGTGTAGACAACATAAAGTTAAATCTTATTTAAAAAAAAAAAATCTAGTCTGGAAAATCAGCTTTTCTTAAAAAATATTTTTATTTTATTTTGTCAATATACGATGTGGTTGATTATTGTGGCCCATTACCTTTATTTAAAAAAAAAAAATCTAGTCTGGAAAATCAGCTTTTCTTAAAAAATATTTTTATTTTGTTTTGTCAATATACGATGTGGTTGATTATTGTGGCCCATTACCTAAACCTCCCTCTCCCCCCTCCCTCCCAACAACTTCATGTCTGTTCGCTTGTCATATCAATTTCAAGGAATTGTAATGGTTGTGTCTTCTTCTCTCACCCCTACCCAGTTTATTTGTGTATTTATTTATTTATTTTTAGCTCCCACAAATAAGTGAGAACATGTGATATTTCTCTTTCTGTGCCTGACTCATTTCACTTAATATAATTGTCTCTAGGTCCATCCATGTCGTTGCAAATGGCAGTGTTTCATTCTTTTTTATATCAGAGTAGTATTCCATTGTGTAGAGATACCACATTTTCCGTATCCACTCATCTGATGATGGACATTTGGGCTGGTTCCAACTCTTAGCTATTGTAAATAGTGCAGCAATGAACATTGGAGAACAGGTATACCATCGACTCGATGATTTCCATTTGATGATTTCCATTCCTTTGGTTATATTCCCAGCAGTGGGATAGCTGGGTCATATGGCAGATCTATCTTCAACTGTTTGAGGAATCTCCATGCCATTTTCCATAGGGGTTGCACCATTTTGCAGTCCCACCAACAATGTATGAGAGTTCCTTTTTCTCCACAGCCTCACCAGCATTTATCATTCATAGTCTTTTGGATATTAGCCATCCTAACTGGGGTGAGGTGGTATCTCAGTGTGGTTTTGCTTTGCATTTCCCAAATGCTTAGTGATGTTGAGCATTTTTTCATGTGTCTGTTGGCCATTTCTATATCTTCCTTTGAGAAATGCCTACTTAGCTCTTTTGCCCATTTTTTAAGTGGGTTACTTGTTATCCCGGATGCTGAGTGATGTTGAGCATCTTTTCATATGTCTGTTGGCCATTGCCTACTTAGCTCTTTTGCCCATTTTTTAATTGGGTTGCTTGTTTTTTTCTTGTAAAGTTGTTTCAGTTTCTTGTTATTCTGGATATTAATCCTTTGTCAGATGTATATTTTGCAAATATTTTCTCCCACTCTGTTGGTTGTCTTTTAACTCTGTTAATTGTTTCTTTTGCTGTGCAGAAGCTCTTTAGTTTGATATAATCCCATTTGTTTATTTTTCCTTTGGTTGCCGTGCTTTTGGGGTAGTATTCATGAAGTCTGTGCCCAGTCCTACTTCCTGAAGTGTTTCTCCTATGTTTTCTTTAAGAAGTTTTATTGTTTCAGGGTGTACATATAATTCTTTAATCCATTTTGAGTTGATTTTAGTATATGGTGAGACGTATGGGTCTAGTTTCATTCTCCTGCATATGGATATCCAGTTATCCCATCACCATTTGCTGAAGAGGCAGTCTCTTCCCCAGTGTGTAGGCTTGGTGCCTTTGTCAAAAATCAGATGGCTGCAGGTGTGTGGGTTGATTTCTGGATTCTCTGTTCTATTCCATTGATCAGTGTGTCTGTTTTTATGCCAATACCACGCTGTTTTGGTTATTATAGCTTTGTAGTGTAGTATAAGGTCAGGTAGGGTTATGCCTCCAGCTTTATTTTCTTTGCTCAGAATTGCTTTGGCTATGCGTGGTCTTTTGTTATTCCATATAAATGTCCAGATAGTATTTTCCATTTCTAAGAAAAATGTCATTGGAATTTTGATGGGGATTGCATTTAATTTGTATATCACTTTGGGTAGTATGGACATTTTCACAATGTTGATTCTTCCAATCCAAGAGCATGGGATATCTTTCCATCTTCTTGTATCCTCTCTAATTTCTCTCAGCAGTGGTTTGTAGTTCTCATTATAGAGATTTTTCACATTCTTGGTTAACTCTATTCCTAAGTATTTTATTTTTTTGGTGGCTATTATAAATGGGCAAACTTTCTTGATTTCTCTTTCTGCATTTTCACTATTGAAGAATAGAAATGCTACTGATTTTTGTGTGTTGGTTTTGTATCCTGCAACTTTCCTGAAATCATCAACTCCAAGAGTTTTTTTGTAGAGGCTTTAGGCTGTTCAGTATATAGGATCTTGTCATCCGCAAACAGGGACAGTTTGACTTCATCTTTTCCAATCTGGATGCCCTTTATTTCCTTCTCTTCTCTGATTGCTCTGACTAGTACTTCCAACACTATGTTGAATAGGAGTGGTGAGAGTGGGCATCCTTGTCTAGTTCCTATTCTTAAGGGAAAAGCTTTCAGCTTTTCCCCATTCAGGATGATATTGGCAGTGGGCTTACCATATATGGCTTTAATTATGTTGAGATACTTTCCATCTATACCTGACTTGTAGAAAGTCTTTATCATGAATGAGTGTTGAATTTTATGAAATGCTTTTTCAGCATCTATAGAGATGATCATATGGTCCTTGTGTTTGATTTTATTGATATGGTATATCACATTTATTGATTTGTGTATGTTGAACCAACCTAGCATCCCTGGGATGAATCCCATTTGATCATGGTGTATAATTTTGCGTATGTGTTGCTGTATTCTGTTAGCTACTATTTCATTGAGGATTTTTACATCTATATTCATCAAGGACATTGGCCTGTAGTTTTCTTTTTTAATTGAATCTTTATCTGGTTTTGGTATCAGGGTGATGTTTTCTTCGTAGAATGAGTTTGGGAGAATTGCCGCTGTTTCAATCTTTTGAAGTAGTTGTAGAGAATTGGTGTCAATTCCTCTTTGAATGTTTGGTAGAATTCTTCTGTGACTTCATCTGGTCCTGGGCTTTTCTTTGTTGGGAACCTTCTGATAACAGCTTCAATGTCTGTTATTGTTATTGGTCTGTTCAGATTTTCTACATCGTCTTGGCTCAGTTTTGGTAGTTTGTGTGTCCAGAAATTTATTCATTTCCTCCAGATTTTCGAATTTGTTGGCAGTATAGTTGTTTATAGTAGTCTTTAATGATTCCTTGTATTTCAGATGTATCAGTTGTAATATCACCTTTTTCATTTCTAATTTTTGTTATTTGGGTCTTCTCTTCTTTTTTTAGTTAGCCATGCTAATGGTTTGTCAATTTTATTTAGTGCATTTCCCCTCTAAATCTAATTCTTTTCCCAGCTTCTACCCAAGTTTCTAGCTATTAGTCTCCCTGGATGTACCACTGTGAACTTAGACTTAGCATGCCATCAGTTAAATTTATCTTCTTCGTTTCCTGTTCTTTTGATTTTCTATTTCTTTTGATTGTTTCTCTTGCCCTTTAGTCATACAGAAGTGGTACTTCTGTTATCTTTTAATTCCATTCACTTTTAGTCTTTTTAGCTTTACCTCCTTACCTTTATCCCTTTATTCCCACTATTTCTGTCTTGTTCTGATGCTCTTTATCTTCCGTTTAGCATGCTTGAGTTTCTCTCATCTTATCTTAATCTTTTATTGCTCAGGTACTTTCACGAGTTTTTATTACATGCTGAATAAAATTCAGATTTCTCACCTTGATGTATGAGGTCTTTTATGTTCTGGTTCTAGTTTATCTTTTTTCCTCACTTCCTGATCCTCTGTTGTGCCTTATAGTTGATTTGTCTGAATTTTTACTCTTTCACTATTTTCCTGGATTGTCCTTTTGCCTCATTTTCTAATGCCCAAGTTTTAGAGATTCTGAAGGCCAATTTCAGTCACCTTCATTAAGTTGGTACTAGTTTCCTCCAATTAAGTCTTCCTCCAAATTCACTTTTGCTCTAGCTTTGTATGAGGTATATAAGTAATAATTTTCTATCTTATCCCTGTTATGTTATGTACTTATTTTGCCCCTCTTCTAGACTATGAGACTATTCAGGGAGGGATTGTCTGTTTCATCCTTGCCCATATGTATATAGCATTGTGCCAAGACTTATTAGATATCTAATAGATAATTGTCAAATTAATGAATGTTAGAGTACCCATATTAAACTTATATCTTAAATCCTCAGCTTATAATATGGGAGAAATTTTTTTTTTCCTTTTTGTCTTTTTTACTGACCGGTAATGGGATCGCAACCCTCAGTGTTGTGCCCGTACCGGGGACCGGCAACGGGATCGCAACCCTCGGTGTTGCGCCCGCACCGCGCTCAGCCAGTGAGCGGGAACCAGTCTCCACATGGGATCCGAACCCTCGGCGGGAGCGCAGCCGCACTCCCAAGCAGCACACTCTCCAGTGCGCCACCGGGCCGGCCCCATGGGAGAAATTTTTAAAGTTTCTTGACTCTTTCTTCATATTTTATATTCACATAAAACATGTTCATACTTATATATGAAAATAAGCAAGAGGAACTAATAATGTTAAATTTGTATAGAAGATTTAATTTTTCCTAAAAATCATGAGTAAAATGAATTTTTTTTTCTTTTTTGAAGAATTTTGATTTTATTTTTCAGCAAAATCAGTTTTTACTTAGCTTCCCACTGACTTGTATTATAATATCCTCCCCCCCCCCAGGTGAAGTTTGACCCTTGTATTTATAAAAGCACACTTAAGGTATTAAAGTTTTAGGATCATATAGTTAAAGGAGAAATTATGTTTCCCCAAAGATTAAAAGTAGTACCTTGAACTACTATAATGTTAACATTATACAGTATTAAATTATACTGGAGAGTGATAAAAATGACTAAAAATAAAACAGTGAACATAAGAGTCCGAGAAGTGAAACTCTAGCAATGTACATATTTGCCTGATAAGTAAATTTATATCTCAGATAGCAGTTTGTAAGGAGTATTACTGACTTTGTATGCAAGAGTATTCTTTTCACTTTCTACTCTCTCACACCAATTTGTTTTCCTATTGCTTTCTGTGCATCCTTGCCCATTAAAATTGGTACAGTTGATTAATGTATCCTTGGAATAAGGACGATAACAGCATATGTGACTGACAAAGATATCTTATCTCAGGCCATGCTGAAGATGAAGCTTGTCCAATCCAATGCTGCTAAAACATTTAGCTAATAATAATAGTTTAAAAGAATAATATCAGGAAAGATTCTGATCGATAAACCATTCTTGGATGGTTAGAATCACATAGGAAATTATGAGCATATCATAATTAACACTTTTTGATTGTGACAAAGTTATCCTCATTACTTAATAATGAAACATAGTATAAGAGGGTACTTCAAAAAGTTCATGGAAAAATAGAATTAAAAGATATAAATATTTCCATGAACTTCTTGAAGTTAGAGGTTAGCCAAAGCATGTATTGTTTATGTGCATTGTTGAGGGAGGACAGGTGATGCTATCAGGAGAAGGCAAGGCCTAGATATTTCCACATGCAGTGAAAGGTCAAAGATGATCAAAATATTATAGAATTGAGGAAAGAGTCAGCACAAAAACTGGGGGCTTTGGAGTCCTAGACCTTACCAGTGCAAGTCGTATTCCATTGGAAACACTGACAAACTATTTAATGTCTTTGAGCCTCAACTTAGTCATTTGTGTGAAATTTAAATAGCTCTCTTTGTTATCATGAAAATTTAATGAGCAAATTTCATTCCTTCTGAAGTTATGAATTTCTATTAAATGAAGAATATTTTCTGCCTAAAGAGTGGAAATATTTCCAACACATTGACTGAGTCTTAGATATTCCTGGATTTTAAAGATAATTTAGTGCATATTGTTTACAGATGAGGAAATTAAAAGAAAGTTATAATTTACCAATATCACATAAATTATTAGTGAAAAACATAGAACTGACCTGCTCCTTTATTCTTTTTACTGTTCTGTAATGCCCCCTTTGTTTAATTACAGATACATATACATTTCTTAATTTGATTTCAAAGGTTCTTTTGTTTTTTGTAGGACTGATTTTCTTACAGTTCTAATTTCAGTTGCTCACATAACTTAACATTGTTCTGGCTGAAAGAACTACAGTTTCTTTGTTTCTTGTTGTCATTGCCACTTAGGAATTTGCATTGTGACATTTTCTTCTGTTGAACCTTTATTTGACAATATTTATTACACCATGGGAAATTGGATTTTAGATCTGGAAATTAAAATCTGGAGGCTTGAAAGTATCGTTACATATTGATGATATAGGATAAAATAAACTTTATTAAAGTAGGGATATTTTATCAATTGCTCAGTTTATGTTTTATATTTTAGGTGGAAATAGAGAAGCTGAAAAAAGCTGTCTTGTCTTCTTGAGGTGCTGTGGACCCAGTGTTCTTAATGTTCCAGGGATTCAGAAGCAACACTATGAACTCCAAATGACTTGTTACTCAAAAATAACCAGTGCTGTTGTTGTGAAAAAGAAATATGAGTATATGAACTATATAATATCTATAAAGAAGTAGGGGGAGGGTAAAATTTTTTCTATATATTTTGTTTTGCCAATATGAAAAAAAGAGGCCTTATTTTTTACTGTGCTGGGATTGCAAACACTTTTTTTTTAATTTGTTTGCTTGAAAATACTACTGAATCTGTATAAAAAGGAAAGAAAATTCACAATAGATTTTTTATTGAAACTTGTAGTATTATTTTTAAAGAGATCTATAGTATAAATATAGTGATATCTTTTCAAGTAATCTGTCTGTAAGATATTCTATTGGAGAGGGACAAATTAGCCTTATAGTGATTATAGTCAATACTTTTCCCATAATACATAAGGGATAAACTTTGTACATACATATATTTTTACTTTTAGCCTCTTACCCAGGATTACACTGTTGTGCCTGTTTGTCTGCAATGCTGTTTATATTTTGGGTGATCGAAGTAGGAGTTTCCTAGCTATAAACCAGATTACTCACCCATGCATATAGAAATAACTAATGAAATAATCAAAATAATTTCTTCAGCTTTTAGAATATTTTATGTTGCTTGCACTATAGGATTCATAAAAGGAATTTAGTTAAAATGTATTGGGTTGTTCAGCATATTTGGGAAAATATGAGCTTTATTTTAAATTTATTAGGTCTAAGGAATCTAAAAATGTCAATTTAACCCTTTACCTGTGCCTAGAAACTACAGCACATATGAAGTATGTAAACACCAGCCTTATTACTGTACTTTTCTGCTTATTTTACAGTCTCAAGTATTACTCATTTCATTGTCTTGTGAAATGTCCTCCGTCTCATTTTTAATAGTGATAAATAATATTAGGGAACCAAAACCCAACACTTCTCAGAACGTCAGTGTGAGGTTTCGTACTTTGACAAGTTATCATGTAGCTTCTCAGGTTTTACAATGTATAATTTACCTAATAGACCAGACTAACTAGTGGAGATATTTTAGATATTTAGGTACCAACTTTATAAAGAGTGTTAGTATGTCACTAAATAAAACATTACAGCTTATTTAAAACCAAATATAGATGACGCTACTCAAAATACAATTTTTACAGAATGAATGAATTAGCAGTTTCTTCAGAGTCACTTAAGAACAGTTGAATGTTTTAAAAATGTCACATCTATACGTAGTATGTCTAAAAACATGTGGGTTTATTTAAAATTTAAAAATTGGAAGTTTTTTCATTTGCAAAATATTAGGTTTTAAGCTTTATCATAGCAAATGAGTGTCAGAGTTTGAGTACCAGTTATGATGCTTCCATTTTTTGTTTTAAACCACCAAACCAATATTTTTCCTTTACTTTTTAAGCTTATAATACAGAAATCTTGTGTAAATGAAGTTTTGTCATGTTTCAAATAAAACAGAACCAAATTAGAAAATAATAGAAATGCGATTCTTTAGTTCACAACTTATGGTAGGGCTTTTGGGAAAAGTTAATTGTGCATTGAGTATGTATGTTTTAACTCTGTAAAGTCTTTGGGCTCTTCTAATGAGGTTGCTACTGAACAAAATTGTTTTCTACTGTTTTTAAATGACTATAGTTAAATGAATGATTTTCTTGTTAAATAAATTAAATCTTATTTTCTTTTAATGACAGTTCTTAGGTAAAAATAAAAACACTGTATCATAGAAATCATCTGCCAGTTTTCTTGCTGAAAAATCTATTAAGTGATCCCTCCCCACCCTAATGATAGGGTGGGGGAAGGTTCCAGCAGATTTCAGGCTGTCCTTAAGGTTTTTGTTCGCCATTTTCTCACTAGTACATAAAATCAAGATGGTCATGAGTACTGAAATACATTTAAAGTTTTTGCTTGTATACGCCTCAGTCAGAATAGAAAAGTAATTGAAGTACTGTGTGTCTCTTTTTCTGCCCTTGACAAAATAGTAAAGAAAACCAAATAAACTCAAACCTAAAGGGAAAAATGATTCCTTTATTCTAGTAATTTACCACTATTTGCTTTTGATACAAGAACATTTATTCATTTCTATTCCTAATGTTTATATCAAAAATTTTACATAACAATAACCTTTATTTAGGGTAAATTAATTTTTCTGCATATGAGTATAAATAACAGACTAAAGGTGAACAGCATGGAATCTGTTGCCAAATTATTAGTGACTGTATAGGGGGGTCTTTAAAAAGTTCATGGAAAGATTCATATTATCTGTCAATTCCATTTTTCAACAAACTTTTTGAAGTACCCTTGTATAGTTGAGGTTTGCTATTCTTTGAAACACATGATGTTATGGTCGGCCCTCAGTATCCACAAGTTCAGCATCTAGGAATTCAACCAATACATGGAAAATATTAAAAAGTAACACAAATTTAAAATACAGTACAGTGTAGCAAATGTTTACATAGCATATACATTGTATTAGGTATTATAAGTAATCTAGAGATAATCTAAAGTATACAGGACAATTTGTGTAGGTGATATGCAAGTACTACACCATTTTATATAAGGGACTTGAACATCCTCAGGGTTCCTGGAACTAATCTCCCATGGTTACCAAGGGACGACTGTACTAGTTATCTAATTGTATTTCAATGTTATTTTTGTGTGTGTGACCACTAAGCTTCTGTCTTACTATAAAGCTGTTACCTCTTTACAGAATTTAAGTGTGGTGATGCAAAGAGAGAATGGGCCTTGTGTAACAGGATTCTCTTTTATGCTCCTTACTGTATCACAGGAAAAAAAAAAATCCAAGTGCTCTCTAGATTTTTTTGATAAACTTTTATGCTTGCATTTAAACTTGAAATGTATGAGCAGAGTGAGACAATCAGTTAAGATCAGAAATGAGAAGTGTTATAATTTAATGGCCTTATTTTGCTGTAGCAATAAAATGACCAAGTGCAATGACTTGATTTAATAAAATCATCTTTTAAAAGTTGCTGCTATGAATATTTTTAGCTATAAAATTTTACCCTTGTTTTAGCCTGACTTGCCTTTAATAACTATTATGTAATGCAGTTGATGTTGTGGTAATCTTACATTCCAAAAAAAAAAAAATATATGGGAAATCTCCAAATAATAAACTTAATGACTTGTTTACAGGTGCTGTAAAAAAGCATGCTTCTCCCGCTAAAAGAAAAATTAAAAATAAAACAGAATTGTATTGCTAATTGTGTCAGTCTTTATTGGTTATTTTTCTTTGACTTCAGCATATGCTTATTGAAGAGTATGATGAAAATTATATTACTTTGAATTTTCCAAGTGAAAGAAATAGTAAAATTAAAGCAGTAAAAGTTCTAGATCTGTATCACTTTTATTGAAACTTTTCTGAGTCTGCTTTTTCATCTGAAGCTGTGAGATAATTTCTACCTCACAGGATTATAGGGAGAATTTGGAATGATTTATATAAAGTGTCTTGTAGAGTGTTTTGGCGTAGATTTTTTGAAAAAATGGAAGCTGCTGTTTGACTCTTTAGAATTATTTTCTAGTTTACAGATGTGATGTAAATCAGATGGATAAGGATAGATAAGATTAAAAGAAAGGAATAGTACTTCCTCTCACCCCGTTTTTTAATACAGTATCCCTTTCTGTGGGGGTGATATTTCTTTCACTTCTATTATATTGTTCAAAGGGGGTCTGCCACCATCTACAGATTCTACTTGCCTGACCACCCAGTGATTGCCCCTGTGGAGAGTACTTAAATTGAGTTAATCAGAGACTGAGATTTTAAAAACTGGAAACAAAAAGACATAGTCTCAGCATAGGAGCTTTCCATGATTATATTTTTCTGTCATCTAGAAAAAGCTGATTTGAAAGAACCAAATTTAGTAGAGTGTAGAGATGGCAACAGAATCCAGAAGGATTCTGAAACTGATTACAGTCATTCCTGAGCCTCAGCTACCCATTCTTTGGTTCCTTAAGCACAGAGTTGCTCATAACTTTATTGAATTTTGGAACTCACAACTGAAAAAGTCCTCATAAATACAGAAAACAAAATAGGATCAGGAGGATATCAAGGCCCACATATTCTTGCTGGAAATGTGTTATATACATTGCTGTAGGCTCTCTAGAAGTGTGCTGGAAGATTTGAAACAGAAGGAATAGGAAACTGCTATGAAACAGTATGGAAAGTAAGTGTCAAGTCATTAAGTTAAAAAAAAAATCTTAGTTTAAAATTTTCTAGTTGCTTTTTATTGGCTTTTATAAACACTGGGAAAAAATTAAGCCTTGCAGGCACACATATATTGCTGAAGCTCTGGACTACAGAATTTGAGTGTTTGAGGGGACGTTAAAGATGGTCTAATTCAATTCCTGTGCAGATTGTTTTGTCCGAAAATACAATTTGCAGATTTAGTCCCATTGTAAGAAATAAAAGCAGATAATGGTTTAACTTGCATGAATTTATTAGGCTTTGTTACTTCCCAATTAAGATTCAAGAGCGATGGCCAGTGCTCTTGACCATATGCTTTATTGCCTCTCGGTTGACATAGATGATGTGCAGGAATGAAGGAGCCTGAATGGGGAATCAGGACTTTTTTCAGTGCTGCTTCTTTCACTCTGTGATCCTTCATATTCTGAGTATCAAATTTGTCCATCGGTAAAAGAGACTAAAAATAAAGTCCATTTTAAACATAATCTGTTTAGATTTCTTGTGTGACATGGGCACACATAAGATTTTAGGGAACATTCTTCATTTCTTAGTGTACATCTTTGCAAACTTAAATGATTTTCATGGCTTTTCAGCAGACATGGAAAAACCCTAATTAGCATCCATAAAGAAATTAAATGACCACTAGATGGCAGTCAGGTGAAGCGCAGCTCTTTTATGTGTCTTGAGTAAACCCCAAATGTATGTAGTATCTGCAAATAAAATCACAGAGGGCTTCAACCCATTGAATTCACCCAGTACTGGGACACAACCAACCCACTCTTCTCCCTGACCACTTCCCCCAGTTGAGTGCCACATGATTGAGTAAAAGGAGTTAAGACCTTGGGAACTGGACTGATCTGGCTTTGAAAAAACTGGCTCTCAAAATTAGCTGTGTGAACTTGGCAAATCACTCCAATATTGTCACTTACTTTATCTATAAGAGATCTAAAATACAATTCTTGCGACAATTTAAAACCTTTCTCTCTTGTCATGTACTCAGAGAAGAGAGAGGAGAGGGACCCTGAGCTCTGGGAAAGCAATCAAGTCATGCCAGCAGCAACAAAACTGTCTTGCTCTTCTTTGCCTTCCCTGTTGAATGTTGATACCTTGAAGGCTTCTTTCACCCCAGGTTGTGGTCTTGGGCCTTCCTCACGTGAGTTATATGTCACTGCCTTCCCTTGACCCTGGGATAAGTTCTTGTTTCTCTATTTTGTCCTGCCATGTGCTCCTACTTCAACTAGGTCAAAGAGAAAACAAATCCCCTTTTGTGTAACAACCTCACAAAATAGCTTGTTTGCTGTGGGCTTCTTAGAGAGTTTCTGGTGGACCATCTCTTGTTTTGCCACTTCTGTCTTCTCCCCAAGGGCCTAGCATAGTTCACATAGAGGTGATGTCTGACAGTGTAACCCAGAGCAGGTGGTCAGTGGAGAGAGTCCATAGTGCCATGGCTATGCCTGAAAAAGCAAATACATTTTTAGCTCAAATTCTAAGCAGAAAATTACTTTTTTCTTCCAAAAGGGGATTAAAATGTCCATCTTGTGATGACATGACTACAGGGTCACAGAAGCAGAGAGCAATACTACCTCAGAAGGGTCATGGTCATCTGAAAGACTAGATGTGAACCATGCTGTGTAGGAAGAAGACAGAGCAAGACAACATCACACAGCCCCCTCCACTAACCACTAAAATAGCCAGCCATCTGCCGCACACTTCAGGGAAAGCAAAACCTTTCATGGAGGTATTAGTCCGTTTCTGATGCCTATAACAAAATACCTGGAACTAAGTGATTTATAAAGAAAAATGAAATTTATTGCACTTATAGTTTCTCAGGCTGGGAAGTCCAAAGTCCATTTGGTGGTGGCCACAGTGACTCAGGGGTCTCACATTGCAAGAAGGTAGAAGCAGAGAGAACAGAGAGAGAGACTCTCCTCTTCTGTTAAAGCCCTCAGAACCACACCCCTGACCCCCATTTTTAATCCATTCACTACTACATGATCCTACAATCCAATCACCTCCACCTTTCAATTACCATAATAGGATTTCCCACTTTCTTAACAGTCACTTGGAGGCTGTTTCTAATACATAAGACTTGCCCCTCGCTCCCCAAAACTCATGTCCTTTTCACATGCAAATTTCATCCCCAAAGTCTTAACTTGTTTCAACTCAAAAGTCCAAAGTTCAAAGTCCCATCTGTGAAAACAATACAAGTTATCTACTTCCAAGATACAACGGTGGGACAAACATAGGGTACATATTCCCATTCAAAAAAGGAGAGAGAGGTCAAAAGAAAGGTGTAACACGTCCTAAACAAGTCCGAAACCCAGCAGGGCAGGCATTAAATCTCAAAGCTGAAGAATGAGGTACCTTGATTCCATGTTCAACCTCCTCTGCCTGTTGGTACAGGGGTTGGGTCCCCAGGTCCTTGGGCAGCTCCACTCCTGTGGCTTTCTTGGTCTCAGGTCACACTTCAGCTCTCCCAGGCTGGTGTTCCACTCTGGTAGGTCCACAGGTCTGGGGTCTCCATGGTGGCCCTGCTCTCACGGCTCCACTAAGCATGGTACTAGTGGAGTTTCTCTGCTGCAACTCTGACCCCGTGCTTCCAATTGACATTACTCTAGTGAAGCCTGTCTGTGGTGATTCTGCCCCTGCAACAGATCTCTTCCTGGGCCCCCAGACTCTTCCATACATCCTTTAAAATTGGGGTGGAGGCTCCCAAGCCTCCATAGCTCTGGCATTCTGTGAGCCTACAGACCTAACACTCTGAAGACTGCCAAGGCTTCTGGCTTTTATTTTCCAAAGCTGTGGGTCCAGCCACAGCTGGGGCAGCCAAAGCAGCTGGGTGCTGGTGTGGGGAGCAGCATCCCAATGTGGCCCTGGGCAGTGAGCCCATGGAGGGTGCCTCAGGCCTATTTCACAGAACCACTCTGTCTCTAGGAGTTTGGGCCTGAACTGGGTGGTTGGCCCCAGAGGTTTTCGTGTTGCCCTCAGGGCCTTTTTCTCCTTCTCTTGATAATCCCTTTCTTTTGCATTAATCTTCTTAGCTAATGGTCGTTGGGCTGCATCACTGCATGCTCTCTGCTTCTCTACCACATGGCCAGGCTCCACATTTTCTAAATCTTTGTGCTCTGCTTCCCTTTTAAATTCTGGCTTTATGTTGTGCCTTTGCTGCCAGTAGGCTATTACAAGTAGCCATGCAGCTTCCTGAATGCTTTGCTGCTTAAAGATTGTATTAGTCCGCTTTGTGTTGCTATAACAGAATTACCTGAGACTGGGTAATTTATAAGGAAAAGAGGTTTATTTGGCTTACGATTCTGGGACAGCTGCATCTGGCACGAGCCTCAGGCTGCTTCTGCTCATGGCAGAAAGTGGCAGGTACAAGCAGATCACATGGCGAGAGGAAGCAAGAGAGGGAGAGGAGGTGCCAGGGTCTATTTAAACAACCAGCTTTTGCAAGAATAATAGAGCGAGAACTCACTCATTACTCCCCCCTCCCCCAGGGAGAGCATTA